TGTTACACCACTTAGACTAAAGGAATTGTTTTAGAGGTTTTAACAACCTCTAAAGGTTTGATAAACCAGACTGCTAGCATTACCTAGCCCCAAGGAACTGTTCAGCTTGGTTTCCCTCTCCCATGGCTGGGGTCTGCGAGGAAAAGTACCACACTTCTGCGTGGAACACAAGAGGAACGCTCTTGGAAAGCTGTGCTCTCTATCCCCTCAGTAGCGCTGACACATGGCACCTAGCATTAAGTTCATTCTGCTTTCTTAAAATGCTTTCCTCCTCCCCCTACAAACACTCACACAAGTCATTACATCACCATGCGTCTTTTTTTTTTTTTTTTTTTTTTTTTTACAATCAATTACGTTCATATATATCACAGGGGCATTGCTGCAAATAGAAATTTGCCATTGAACAATTTAGCCCTGTTTAATTTCTTACGACATGATCAATAACTAATACTAAAAATTGTGATACTTTGTATTTTATTTGGATCCCAAATAATCCCGGATCATGCCAGGTACCACTGAATTACAAAATTTTAAGAAGAAAATACCTTTAGAGGTGATTCTTGTCTGCTCAGAAAATACAAGAACAGCAGCAAAGGACTGGAAAATGCCCAAACGTCACAATTCTGTGGCATTGAAAAATACTCTTTTTATATTGTATTTACACAAACATGTATTTTTCTGCGTATGTTGTTCCACAATACAGGATGTGTATCTAAAATGTCTAGCACGTGAATATTTCCTAAGTATTTACAACCTCCATTCTTTCCTGCCAAGTTTTAGCCTGGGTGAGACAAATTACAAGCCAGTGAAAAACATCCTCTAGTACAAATCTGATCAGTCCTTCACTCTGCTGATGTTGGTGACTACCATAGTAAAGAGACGTTTTCCCAGGAGAAACTCTGGAAGCATGCCCCTAGACCATAATTTCCACACAATTTCATTAGAAATGAACCTTTTGTGTGTCAGAGAGGATTAATTTTTTTGTTTCTAAACTCCTTGTGCACAAAAGTTAATCCAAACCAGACAGGAGTCAATTAGGTCGTTAACATGCTAAGCCTATTAACAGCCATGACTTACATTTCTTTCCCGCAACAATGAAAAACATTCAGGAGTCTGCCTTTAAGTGGCAAAGCCCATGAGCAATTTCATTATTTTATGACACGGCTACTTGAAGCGGTGGCTGTTTGCACAAGCAAGCAGCACTCCCCACTGTGCAGCAGCAGGATGCTTTGCTCTCCCCAAATCCAGTCCTAGCTTAGCCTCTCAATTAGCATCAGGTAGGAAAAAATCCCGTCACAGAGCAAGATCCATAGCCTTAGATAAATTTTACATCAGACCATCAATCTCCCTCTGCCGCAGAACTCACTGGCCACCACCATTGCACGAGCTGCGCTATGGTAGTAGCGTGCACATGTATGTGCACGTGTGTGCATGTGAGCTCTCAGCCCAGCAAACATGGAGAACTTCAACAACTTTGTTTGCAGTAGGGAATTCTTGTTCCTGAAGCTGTCCATGGATTAGGAACCTAACAGATATGTAATTAATTTTGCTGACACACAGCGTTAAGTGCAATCACATCATGTCAGACCAAGGGTCCACCGAGCCCATGCCATGAGGTCTCCCAAGCTCAGGACCTGCCTGTCAGTCACCTCTGGGCCAACCTGAGGAGGACAAAGCTTACAGGGAGGATCCCAGCAGCTGTGGGGTCTAGTCACATTCCCTTTTGGACAAAGCAGAGAAGAGCAGCATGTAGTGGGTCCCCAGAAGCCTTCAAGAAGCAGTAGGTGCTATCGGGAACACTTTTTTTTTTTTCCCTCTCTCCAGTGTCCCCTTTTAGTGTTTTATTTTTACAGTTCTGATACCTTGGTACTCATTCACCTCCTCTTT